CATAAGTACAATATTTTCGGTTAGGTATTCTTGAAAAGGTTTCTTTTATTTAATACATGTTATCATTGATTATAAATACTGTAGATATTATATATACTATATTATAGATAATATTTATAATCAATGATAATATGTGTTTGATAAAACAATTTAAAAATTAATCTATAATTATTGTAAAAACAGAGTGCTACAATACAGGAAAATAAATTGAAAATTTAAAGTTCATCTTCTGACATTCTTGAAAAATGTGTAGTCTACACGTTTATGGAATTAGAAACATGTGTTCCCATTTGAAAAAAACCGAAGCCCTTACTTGTATACGTAATACAAGTATCGACTTAGTTTTTTTCGAATAGCAACAAATATTTTTAAAACCAAAAATTATAGACGAAATGTATTAATCAATTTTAGTGTTTGGATTTTAAGTTTTCATCATTCTGTTCGAATTCTATTCTTTTGCTAAGATATTACAGTTCCTCTTACAATATTACATTACTTTTTATGTTAATTTTAATGATTATAAAAAAAGTACTAAAAATAAAACAGGCTTTTTTTTACATTGTTTGTCCACCAAAACAATGCTACAATAAAAAAATGCACATTATGCAGACAAATCATACTAATTTTTTTTATTTATGTTGAACTACAATTATTTATTTATGATGGAAAATTTATATCGTTCTGAATATTGGTTTTTTTGACTCGAGGCGGAGAAAATGTTTAATTTTTTTTTTCTTTATTCTTCTATACGCTAAGGCACTAATGTACAGTTAATAGATATAAATTGAAAATTAGTATTTAAATTTTATTCGCATTTTCCGTATTGTACAAAAACCAAGGTTTCGGGTTTTTGCATAAAATACAGCACTTTTTACAATGACAGCTGAAATGTACACAAATGACAAATATTTTAATACAACCTTTATTTTTGATTTTAACAAAAATTGGTCATCATTATTATGTATGTAACAATAGAGTAATATCATACAGAACAATTCTTTTAAGCATTTAAAAACACAAAAAATGAAACATAATACAATTAAAAATAAACCTGGGTTATTTTTAGTGCATTTGCTTGTCTGCTTCATAGCATACTTAAACGTTAATAACGAAATCAAAACCTATAAAAATTGATTTGTAAAATATAATAGCTCTCGTAATGTTAAAATAAAATGTTTTAAAGAGAATAAAGTTTAACTCTTGTATGGGTGTCTTTGTATTTTGTACTAGAATATTATAACAATGTGTTTTAAACAACGCTCTCATAAACAGGTAGTACTCTACCTTTATATACACTATTGCAAACATATATCAAAATAAAGAAAATCTATTTTTGAATCTGTTCTAAAAAAGAATCTCTTAAAAAAAAACAGTTATATTAAACAGTTTTAACTGTAGTTTAAAATCATATTGTAAAAGTGATTAAAAATATTAGATATTGCAAGTTTTAAAACAGAAATGTTGAGCTTATGCTTTATTATAATAGAACCACAACGCCCATTAAACTATATAGCTGTTATAACTATTCCTGGATCGCGCAATTCGCATAGAAACTGTGGACAACAGCTAATATTGAATGGGCCAGGCAAATTTTAACTATTCAATAATTGAATACAGTTAATTATTTTCCAACGAAAATCCTGACCTAGCCTCCAATCAATAGACATAATGGGATACGGACTACGTGTCATTCTTGTCTTACAATATGTTGTAGCAAGTATGAGCATTTAGCTGGGAAGATAAACTGAAGATCATTTAGACCTTGAAACGAGTATTATTTACGTTATCCTCCAAATCCGGGATGAGTTCCAATATGTTTCTGTTAGTCATGTAGCTTTTTAAGTGTTTTATATGTATGTGTTTATTTAACACTATTAGTAATTTTTTCTGTGAGTTGCTTTAGTTTTTCTAAAATTTTACAAATACCCTATGATGATTACACCATTTTCAATACTCAAAATAAAATTATTTATATGGACACTTGTTTTGAAATTAAGAACAACCATATTATTATTTCCAGAGAACTGTAATTTTGTATTTTGGTTAATAATAATTATTTTTTGTCTAGTAGTTAAGCATGAGCCATCAGAACACATTAGTTACACATCCGGTTTTCTTTAAACTTATGTATTTGTATATGAGTAACCTACATATTTTTCTAGTTAAATATCAAAATATGTTATTATTTTAACAATTCACGTGCACGATATTTTATCAATCTCAATCTATCCCAAAAAAGGTTCATCCTTACGCCAAATATAAATTATTATAATATATTCCAATTCCTGACAAGCATTTTACCGGCCGGTCTCTGTATTTTTTTGTAGGTTTTATGAATACCTAACAAAAACTGTATGCATCTTTGTAATTTATAAGCTAGTTATTACCTAAATGAAAAAAAAAATGTTTACATTTCAATGAGCTTTAAAAACGGTACAACGAGTAAATCTTTGTAAAAAAAACCGGCGTTAAAAATATAAGTTTTCTAATTTGATATTAAGGCCAATATTAAATATAAAAGCTTATAGTTTGAATTAAAACGAAACATGATTATTGGTAGATAATATTATCAATCTACGAATACATTTAATGTCCTACATGAACAAGTTTATCATGTAAGTATTGAAACAAACATTTCAAAAACTTAAAATAAACCTAACCTAAAATAAAAAAAAGCTCAAAAATGTACATATTTTGAACTTATTAAAAATATTCAGCGCGCTATTAAAAAAAAAAAAAAAAAAAACACCATTTGTTTCAAATTTGTATTGTATGTTAAATTTTCAAAATAAAGTAAGTAGACGCATAAAGTACTAATAAACCAAAACCATTTCCCAAACCCTATTCCTAACCTAACCTAACCTAGAAGGGGTGGAAAATGTTGTCTATATTAATCTTTTTCCATCAAAGTTTTATGACTCAAGGCCTGAAAATTAGACTGCGGGTAGATCTAGTGAGAGGCTAAAAAAAAGTTGGGCATTTTTAAGCTGAATCAACAGTGAACAATATTTACTCAATTCGAACGCTTTCAACATGTTTTTCGTCTTTCTGGCCTGCTCTCTGCATATTAAAAATTGAGGGGCCTCCCCAAATCTTTGGGACGCATTACATTTGTGTTGGTATATATTAAGTTATTGTTGTTTGTTCTGTATGATCAGGTGTAGTTTCTATATTTTTGTTACCTATGTCGACATAGGTAACTTGATCATTAGTTAAAACCGCATGCATTTTTGTAACCGTCTATTAGCCAATAATTTGTGAAAATTAGAAGCTCTACAAAAATGGCTATAGTAATAATTAAAAATACAGTTTTGGGAACGACAAAATCCTATCTGAATGATTAAACAAACAATTTGGACGAACGTCTTCTGATAGTTTAGCTTCGAGAAGGGGGAATGCCACAAGACATTATCATGTTGCAGTATATTTTCTTTTAGGGAAAGATGATACTTGTTTTCTTGTTTTGTACTTTTAATGTCCATTTTAAATTTACTTCGAGTTCTCAAGTTGCGAAGAGAATAACTGCGCATAACTTGTTTAATGTAACCAAACAAAATTCACCTTGACATCATTAAGAGGCTTTAACACCTGTGTCTTTTCTTACGAAAACAACACATTTTTTTATTTGGCTGTACTCTGAAATGTGTTAAACTACAATAATTTTGAAAACTAGTACCCATTTTTCAATAGTTATTCGATGAATAATTCGTAGTACATTTTTAAATGAAGTTTTAAATTTTGTTGTAAAAATTATTATTATTCACAATACCCTTTACCACTCAATTTCAATTGTAATTTTTATTAATACCTAATAACAAATGTACTCGCCAACAAAAAAAAAAAATCAATTCGATCACAGAAATCAAAATTCAAAGAAATCTCTGAATTTTATCAGGAGAATATAGCATATTATATTTTTTGAGAAATTGCCGACTTTTTAAAAAATCTGATATCTTCCTCAGAATTTCAGTAAAAATTATAAACATTTCTGAGTTTTATAGAAAAATTTATACAAATAACTACTGTCTTATGGTGCAAAGTGATTTTAACGCATGTTTAGTTACTTGGGATGATAACCTTGATTTAAAGCCAACGCAAATTTCTTCCTTCTCCCCTATTTCTAAACCCTATCCCCTAGAACGGGGGGAAACTTTTGTCCATATTTATCTTTTTCCATCAACGTTTTAGAACACAAGGTCTGAAAATTAGGCTGAAGGTAGATCTAGTGCGGGGATAAAAAAAATTATGGAATTTTTTTTAGCTGAACCAACAGTGAACAATATTTACTCAATTTGAACGCTTTGCAATATGTTTCTTCGTCTTTCTGGCATCGTCTCTGCAAATTAAATACCGAGGGCCCTCCCGAATTTATGGCACACATTACCTATATTGTGTTGGTATATTTTAAGTTATTGTTGTTTACTCTGTATAATCAGGTGTAGTTTTCATATTTTTGCTAACTGCTCGACACAGGTAACTCGATCTTCATTCGTTAGATTCCCTCACATACCTACAGTTGTTCTTAACGTTTAACATTCTCGTTTACCGCAGTATACTCTCATTCGATTTATAATGACAACTAACAGTTACTACTTTATTGTTTTATCTGTCTGTGTTGTCTGTACGTTTGCAGATGGTACGTATAATTTAAATTTTTATACCACAATCCATATATATATAAATATTATACATATTAGTTATTCTCTGATTTACTAGCTATCATATATATATATATATTTTTTTAGATAGATTCAAAAAAGATGACTTAGCTCTCTATACAAGATTTACGGGTAATTAACACATTAAACATATATACAATATTACATACAGATAATATTATGGAAATGTCATATTATTATTGTTGTATACTTAACTGTAGAAGAATACAACTCAACTTTAGGATTAATAAAAGACGTTTATTATGAAACGCTATAACAGCAATGACAAGTAATTATTTTCAATATTAGCGTACGCCGTGAACAGTCCCCACTGCGTACACATTAATTAGTGTTATCTGAATAACCATATTATAAATATAACAATATAACAATATACAGTATAACAATATACAACACCTCTCCCCTTACATTTAATTACAAATTATTTACAATTATTTATAAGACATTTTAATCATGATTGAGAAGGTGTGCGAATAAAATGAACAAAGATACAACTAAAAACAATGCTATCTCTTTGTATAGTAATTTACACATAATTTATACCTAAGAATAACAAGGCTCGTGCTTATAACTAATTTAAACAAAAAAATAACGATAATCGTCTTATTTTCTAAAATCTAACGACTTATAGCGATCAGGCGATCTCCTGACTCTAACCGGGCGAGAATTTCCAGTCGAGCTAGTCATAATTCCCCCGTCTACGTCATCCTCGACCACCTCCTGATCTTGTACCTCCCTTGGTTCGAACGAACTATCATGACCTTCGTCTTCGGGTACCCCCAGGTCCCTATTTGGTATTTTAATGGTTTGGTCTATGTGTCGCTTCCACGTGCCCGCCTCGGTATCTACCTCGAACGCGTGTTTACCCATGGTGTTTAATACTGTCCCCATTGACCACTTGTTATCTCCCCTTCGGTAATCACGCACGGCCACTGTGTCTCCCTGCCTAATTTCGAGCTGCCGTTTGCCGTGACGTTTCACTTGGGAATTCTGGTGATCACTAACCACGTCCTTTGTACTCGGGATTAAGGTATCGAATTGTGTTCGAATATTACGACCTAGTAATAATTTCACCGGTGTCTGGCGTGTGGCCGAGTGCGGTGTATTGCGATAAAATAATAGACATTTTTGCAATAGTGTAGTACTGGTGGTTTTATTTTTCTTAAAAAAAAGTTTAACTAATTTGACCCCTGATTCGGCTGATCCGTTCGTTTGTGGATGGAACGGGGCCCCTACCAAATGCTTAATGCCGCCGTTGGCGCAAAACGTACTGAATTCCGTTCCTGTGAAACACTTAGCTCCATCGGAAGTAATAACCTTAGGGACTCCAAAACGTGCAAAAAGTTCTTGCATTTTTAAAATGACAATTGTCGCCGTACATGCGCTTACCTCGAACACTTCTAGCCATTTCGAAGTCGCGTCTACTATGACTAAAAAAAATTTATTTTTGTAGGGTCCTAAAAAGTCTACATGTAGGCGCGTCCACACGTGTTCCGGCCACTTCCATGGCGTTAGCACTGCCTTCGGCGGTGCGGGTCTAACCTGCATACAACTTTCGCAATTGCGTGCCATATTCTCGATGTCGCTGTCGATCTTAGGCCACCAAAAATAAGAACGCGCGATCGCCTTCATACAACTCATCCCCGCATGCGTAGAGTGCAATTCTGCTAATAGGGTCACCCGAAATTTACTTGGTATAATTACCCTGTACCCCCACATCAAACAGTCCTGTTCGGTCGAGATTTCGTGACGACGCGTGTAATACGGTTTAAGCAGCTCGTTTTTATCCGCGTGTATGGGCCACTCACCAATGTTGATAGCCTTAATTACCTGAGATAAGGTTTTATCCACTCGTGTTTGTGTTTTTATTTTGACCCAATTAACGTTAAACGGGCAATCGTCATTAATAAAATTAAGACACCGCGGCGTCGTTAATTCTTTATCTGCCGTGCCTATTCTAATGCGCGATAAGTAATCCGCCGCGTTTTTCTCAGATTTAACGTACAAAATGTCATAATCGAATGCTGTTAGTACATAAGCCCACCTTTGGAGTCTATTTGCCGCGTAAACCGGTATACCTTTCTTTTCCCCAAAAATGTGGTAGAGCGGTTTGTGATCGGTAACTAGGGTAAATCTGCGTGCGTACAAGTAGTCGTAAAACTTTTGAACGCCGTATATAATCGCTAATCCCTCTTTTTCGATTTGCGGGTATTTACGTTCCGCTTCTGACAACACACGCGAAGCATAAGCTACTGGTTTTTCAGCGTTGCCGTATACCTGTGAGATTACCGCGCCGACCGCAATCGAACTTGCGTCCACCATTAATTTAATTGGTACCGACGGATCGTAGTGGTCAAGTACGGGTTTAGACGACAATATTGATTTGATATTATCAAACGCGTCGCCCGCTTCTTTGGACCAAGACCATTTTGCCCCCGCTTTTAAAAGGTCGTACAATGGTTTTAGAATCCGTGCCGCGTTTTTAACGAATTTAGTATAATATGTTACCAACCCGAGGAAGCTTTTTAATTCGGACCGGTTCTGAGGCGCCGCTGCCTCCTTAATCGCGGTTGTGTGTTTATCTAAGGTATGCAAACCTTGTCTGTCTATTTTATGACCTAGATATTCCACCGCTGTCTGCAAAAAACTACACTTACGCTCTCTTACTTTTAGCCCTGCTGAACCGAGTGCTTTTAAAAGTTGGTCCAAACGTGCATTATGTTCAGGCACCGTTTTACCCGATACAATGATATCATCAATGAACACTTCCACTCCCTCTATTTTTTTTGTGATACTTTCAATTGCTTTCTGAAATTCACCCGCCGATGATTTTAAACCGAACGGAACGCGTGTGTACCTAAATAAACCTTTAATCGTATTTATGGTCGTTAACGCGCGTGAATTATCGTCGAGTACCAACTGCTGATAAGCGTCCTTCAAGTCTATTTTAGAAAAATATCTCGCGCCCGCTATTCTGGCGTAAAGGTGTTCTATCTTGGGCAGGGGATATTCCGTACTGACTAACACGGGATTTATGGTAATTTTAAAGTCTCCGCACAGCCTGACACTACCGTCCCCTTTCAATATTGGAACTACGGGAGTTGCCCATTCACTGTGGTCGACGGGTATCAGAGCGTTGATAGACAACAGTCGATCTATCTCGGTCTCAACTTTTCCCCTTAATGCTAAAGGAACTGGACGATGTTTAAAAAACTTTGGCGTGATCCCCGGTTTTACTTTTAGTGATATTTTGTATCCATTAAAAGTCACCAGCTCCTCACTGAACACGTTTGGATACTTTTTTAAAACCGTTTCAACGCTATCCTCTGCGCCGGTAAAATTACACTTTAAGTTTAACACGTTATTAATACCGAGCGTTGATAAATCATTTCTACCGAGTAACGGTGGTCCCCCGTTTTGAACAATATACACCCATATGTCGGCTGTTTTATTGTTATACGTGACGGTGAGCGCGACTTTACCTATCGGTGTGATTCTATTGCCGACGTAATCTGACAACTCGACGTCGTTAGTGACAATAACCTTCGGACCTATTAATGATTTAAACATCGATTCGGAAATAATACTGTGCACAGAACCGGTATCAATTTCAAAGGTTATAGGTTTACCTTCGACAGCTAAATTAATTCGATACGGGGCTACTTTAAGCTTATCGTGGGAAATATCATTAAGTGCAAAAAAAGAGTCGATTAAATATACGCAAGAATCGTGATCGCCTGACCGCTCCTTTACCGTTAAAAACTTATTTTGCGCCTTATACTTAGTACCTTTATTTTGTGTACCCCTAGCTTTGCACATAGGAGCCAAATGACCTACTACCCCGCACCCATTACAAGAATAATTTTTAAACCTGCATGATCCGGTGTCGTGGTTGGAACGGCCGCATACTTGGCACTTCCCTTTCCCGTTGGCTTGGTTACTCGTGGCCGCATTCTGGTGAAGTCCACTTGACCGCTTAACTCCATTTCGCTTCGGTGTCGTGTATACTTGACTCCCTTTCTGTTTGGTGAAGTGGAGCGCACTGGTCGTTTCCCTTGACCACTTTTTACTCGCGTTGATGTTGGCCTCCTTCGTGGTCGCCACCTCCATCAGCTTAACCAGCGTGGTTGATGCTACTGACGCATCCTCCTCCAGTAATCGATCCTGGATCTTGCCGGATCCCATTCCAACAACGAATACGTCCCGCACTACTACCTCCAGCTCTGGCCCAAAACCGCATTTAGACGCAAGTTCGCGTACGCGAGCGCCCCACTGGACCACACTTTCATCGTGGTTTTTACGAGCTAGGTAAAACTGGTGGCGGGCGGCAAAATACGATTTTTTTGCCTCATAGTGATTTTGCAGTATGACCGATAACGACTCAAAAGTCTTACCGTCGGGGTCCTCGGGCAAACACAGACTGAACAGAATTTTATGCACTTCCTCCGAAATCGAGGATAGCAAAATTGCCCTCTTCTTACTCTCCTCCGTGATGCCGTTGGCGGCGAAAAAGTTCTTTAGCCGAGCGAAATATATCTTTACATTCGTCTCTTGATCGAAAATTCCCAGAGTGCCGATGACTTGCAAGTAGATGGTCCTTACTGACGCCGATGATGCTCCGTCGTTGCGTGATGATTGTGTCATGTTAAACGAGTTCGGTTTTTTTTTTTTTTTACATATTTTTTACTAACAATATGTATATAAAATATGTTATATACTAGCAACAAACAAAAAAAAAAAAATTTTAAATCTTCGTCGCCAATTTGTTGTATACTTAACTGTAGTACTGAATTTCAGGTCTCAAAAAAAACATCACTTTAATAAACAATCTCTTCTGTAGTATACAGAGATTGTACAATAAATTAACTATGCAATTTTTTTTTTTTTAATTAACCCCAAAAATGGCTGATTTGTAGAGTTTAGACCCTTTAAATCCTTTAAAATAAGCCATATTTTAAATATTAAACCCAGTGTTGGATCCGCTTACACACACACACGTATGTGGTGAATTGGCCACCCTGTCTGTGCCGCCACCACCGGTTTACGGGATAGCGTTAATATAACGCCTTTCGATACACTCTCGCTCGTTCTTCTGTCCGGTGTGCGCATCAAACGTTTTGGTTCCCGACGCGAGCGCCGATGTCCATCGCCGCCATATTAGCCTTCGCCTCATGGTCGCTAATTAGCAAAAAAATCATTTTGTGTTGTTAATCGTCCTAACGATTCGCGCGTGCCCTTGTACGCATTATAGTTAATCGCCCAAGCGATTCGCCCGGAATACACATAGTCGTGTTTTGTTGAAATCGCCCTAGCGATTCGCTCGTACCTCCGTACGCATTATAATAAAATCGCCCATGCGATTCGCATGCACCCTGGTGCATAATTAGCTCGCCCAGCCGACCGGTGGTGTGTGTGTCGGAAGATTCATGTATGTGGTCATCATCGAATCAACGTCAATACACGTGCAAATAATCAATGGTCGATAAGTACCGTCTATTATAATATATTTGTTGTTCTATATTGTTGCGCCGGGTGGCATTAGATTATAAGTATTCTCCCCCCTGTCCCCATTATTTCATAGTTTTACATTAATATTATCATTTGTTAATACATACACTTTTATTGCATTTAATTTCTACATATCTATTTATTGTTCAGTACCGTCTTTCATCTCCATACCATACAGTCCATTTTATCCCCTTTTATCTTAAGAATCCTTTGAAAATTGAACCACGCTAATAATCCGACCCAACCCGTCTATAGATATCCGGGCGGTCGATTAAACATTTTGGTCCTTCGGGCCGGATATTCTTAAAACGTAATCATGTCGAAAAAAGGTGCAAAAACCACGGGTAACAACAAGGCGCTTGTTATCGCTCGGTTATCACGCGATCGTGCGTTAAAATCGATACAGGAAATATATGCGATCGCGGAAAAGGCGAAAAGTGACCCATCACTAACGCCTGAATTAGAAATTCGTTCTCGACAATTAGATTCCCTTGCTATGCAATTTCGATTACACCAAGATGCTGTAATTGAAGCTTCGGTTGACCGAGATTTAATCGAAGAATTCGAATGTATTGATTCTCCAGTTACTGACGTAATGGAGACGCTTATTTTTAAAATCAATTCAGTTTTAACGCCAGTCACTTCCGCGAGTAACATATCGACACCTATAACGCCTCAACCGCAATACAGTACATATTTACCGAATTTTGATTTGCCTAAATTTGATGGTAGTCCCGAAAAATGGCGATCATTCTATGAACGGTTTGAGTCTTTTGTTTCCGCAAGAAATGTTAATAAAATCGACAGATTTCATCTATTATTATCATGTTTATCGGGTCCAGCGTAAAACACAATAAAGTCCTTCCCACTCTCGGCTGCCAATTATGACGACGCGTGGGGCGCTCTCATAACGCGTTATGAAAATCAACGGCTCTTAGCATCGGTACATTTAGATAGAATATTTTCGTTCAAACCTATTGCTACAGAGTCATTATCCGCATTGAATGGTTTTATTGATGTGTTTAATGATAATGTAACAGCCATAAAAAATCTCGGTGTGGAGGATTTATCGGGTTTCATATTATTTTATATGGCCGCTAAAGTATTAGACCCAGAAACACGCCGTTTATTCGAAGCCACGGTGACGCAATCTAATATCCCAAACATAGACGATTTAATTATCTTTGTTCGCCAGCGCTGTCGTATTTTAGAGAACATTAAGGGCTACAATAGCGATAAAAAAGAACGCGTTAGTAAAAATAATTTTAACAAAACATATACACCACCGAGAGCTGTATTAACCGGGACCACCGGATCACCGAAAGATTTTAAAAAATGCCCATTTTGCTCAGACTCCCATCCGGTATATCGGTGTAGTGTTTTTCGATCATACGCAATAGAAAAACGACGCGAGGCCGCTGTCAAAGAAAGTCTTTGTTTTTCGTGTTTGAGTAGCATGCATCGCGCCGCTGATTGCAAATCTAAATTATCATGCTCAAAATGTCAAAAACGCCATCATACTCTACTTCATTCTAACCCATCAAGTACTGAAACTCCAGATACCTCAGAACCTAAAGTTCAAGAATTTTGTGGTTTATCGCAAGCAAATCATACCGTCGTATTAGGTACCGCAGTTATTCGTGCACGTGATAGTCGGGGTAATTATCAGGCAATTCGTATTTTGTTAGATAGTGGCTCGCAGGTGTCGGCAATAACCACTCGTTGTGCATCTCGGCTTGGTCTCACCAGACGCAAATGCTTACGTAGTATTAGGGGCCTTGGAAAAAACCCTGTCACTGAAGTAAATGGAGAAACGAGTTGTTATCTTTTACCGCGACAACAATTGGAACCGTCCTTTTGTTGCAATGATGTCATAATACTACAGCAAATAACAACGACCATGCCTACATCACCGTTGCCGTCCGCCGTCCGCGAGTGCTATAAACATCTATTGTTAGCTGATCCCAAATTCGATACACCCGCGCCGATAGACATGTTAATAGGCGGTGACTTATTCCCACACGTAATGCGGCCTCGTGGCGGCATCATACACCACAACGGTTTGCCGTCCGCGATAAACACACATTTTGGCTGGATAGTATGCGGTTCATTGCAAGAACAAAGTACCTCACCTGTTCATTCTTTATCAGTGGCATCAGTAAAATTAGATGACCTTATGCGCTCCTTTTGGGCTATAGAGGAAGCCGCAACACCAATTGAGTCGATAACGGAAGAACAACGATGTGAAGAGTGGTTTTCAAAAACAACTACGCGAGCAAATGATGGTCGGTTTTGTGTAGCACTTCCATTTCGCGATTCCGTTTGTCTTCCCAATAGTGTCAACCAGCCATTTGACACAGTGCCGCCGTATCATGGCCTCGGTAATTCACGCGCGGTAGCTCTAAAGCGATTTTATAATTTAGAAATGCGTTTGATTAAAGACCCTGCGTTGTACGCCGAATATCGTGCTTTTATGGCCGAGTACGCCGCCCTTGGTCATATGAGACCGGCTACTCAGTCTGGTTATTATTACATACCGCATCATGCCGTAGTGAAACGCGATGGAGAAAATATTGATAAATTACGTGTGGTGTTTGATGCGAGTGCCGCCACATCAACCGGGTTTTCACTGAACGACGTATTATTAGCGGGTCCTAAACTCCAAAACGATATTTTTGACATTCTCCAAAAGTGTAGGCTTAAGCGCTATATGTTGACCGCCGATATCACAAAAATGTATCGCCAGGTACTAGTGCGTGACTCAGACTGCCGGTATCAGTATATTTTATGGCGGGACTCAGTTGAGTCCGAGATTGTCGAATATGAGCTATGTACAGTTACGTACGGAGTTACGTCCGCTCCATACCTCGCCATTAAATGCTTAAACGAGTTGGATGCTCAAAATGGGTCCGATTTTCCTGCTGCAAAGGGTGTATTGACCAAATCCACTTACGTCGACGATATTGTAGCCGGCGCTGACACCGTTGAGGAATTGTTAATAATTCAAAGCGACTTGATAGGACTTTTAAAGACGTGTGGCTGCTCTCTCAAAAAGTGGACGAGTAATTCGCCTCAAGCACTTCGACAAGTAGACTGTGCTGATCACTCAACGCTGTTGTTTTTAGACCCAAAAAATGATTCGGCCGTAAAAGTGTTAGGTATGCATTGGGACCCTACTTCGGATATGTTTGCCTATCATACTAATATTAAATCTGATCGTCCTTTCACAAAACGCAAGGTACTCTCTACAATCGCCAGACTTTTCGACCCTATAGGCACGCTTGGACCTATACTCTTATGGGCAAATGCCTTTATGCAAAGGTTATGGCAAGCGAGTCTTGAATGGGACAATAATTTACCAGAGGACTTAGATAAGTTATGGGGTCAATTTGTAAAAGAGTTGCCGTCAATCGATAAAATAATGTTGCCTCGACATATCGACATGCGCGTGTATTCGAAAATTGAATTAGTAGGCTTTTCCGATGCCTCGCTACGTGGCTACGCGGCCGTTGTATATTTGCGGGTGGTAGACAGTTCCGGTCATGCCACGGTGAATTTCGTCACCTGTAAGACCAAAGTAGCACCAATCAAAACCACTAAATGTCAAACTACAGTGCCGCGCCTCGAACTCTGTGCTGCTCTATTACTCGCTACTACATTAAATCGCGTAAAAACCTGTCTAGACATTGATATTTCAAATATTTATGCGTGGACCGACTCTACGGTAGTATTGTCGTGGTTAACGGTCAGCCAAAAATCATTTAAAGTATTTGTAACGAACAGAATCGCAAAAATACAACAATTATTACCGGATTGTAAATGGTCTTATATCAATACAACCGATAACCCGGCGGACCCGGCATCACGTGGTTTATTACCCCATGAAATGGTCTTGTGTGACATTCACCGAGAGGGTCCGACGTTTTTACGATTACCTGCTGAACAATGGCCGCGACATAAGTGTGACCTATTAAAGCCGGAACAATTACCAGATTATCAACAAAGGGCCGTAATACTTATTAACGCTGACAATGAAACCGCCGCCGATCAAATTATACACCGTTTTTCTTCGCTAACCCGTATGCAAAGGACGCTCGCCTATGTATATCGTTTCCGCTTTAAGCCTATACCGACCGGCCCTCTGTCATTTTCCGAACTTCATTATATTTTAAACCAAGCTGTACGGTTGACTCAACAAAGATATTTTAATGATCTCAAGAGGCAATTAATAAGTCGATTTGTTGTTACACCTGCATCTTTGGCCCAATTATCACCATTCATTGATTCGGACGGACTTATACGAGTTGGTGGCCGCCTTCGCTACGCATCGCTTGACGCAGACGCAAAACATCCCGTTCTACTACCTAAAACGTCACACTTATCTGAACTACTAATCAAGCATTATCATCAGGGATATTTACATGCCGGTCCAAAATTAGTTTTATCAATGATGCGACGTAAGTTTTGGATACTTTCCGGTCGCGATGCGGTAAGACATTTTATTTATACGTGTGTCCCATGTATACCTACCTGTTGATAATACCTAGCCTGCTGCATATCCCCCTGATAACAGAATTTTAATTGTATATTAGAGGACTACACAACAACTTTGCCTATAAACAAAGTTATTCACGCTTTGGTTCCACACATAGCTACTGGTCTTAAGGACCGACCATCACTCCGCTCCGGGAGGACTGCGCAAAGCTTTCCTTATGGACAATATAATAACTCAGCTATCGCAAGTTATCCAACAGCATTGAGCACGCTCAGCGTAGTCGAAAAGTTCCTAGGGCTGCGTTTTATAGCTTCCCAAGGGGGTGTATCTAGATAGCTCTTACAATCGGTATTAAAAATATGAACTGGACGCTTTCGTGCAGTGTTTGTTGGTGAGCTAGGGTAACACTTGTGTACGTCACTTTCTGTCTCTCTGATTTGTCAACTCAGCATATATGTGTTTTGTTCTATTTTACATTGTTTGCGTGTAGTATGTTATAGTCGGGTGCGAGTATTATTGCGTGCATACAATCTTATTAACTATTAATAAAAAGTATTTTTAATAATATCCTGTGGATTGCTGAAAATCGTGAAAACATTGTTGACAATTACTGGTAACTTTTTATAAAAAAAAATGTTGATTACAGACATTTTTTTACACGTGTTTTAAGTATATGTTAGTAGTACGTCATGCCTAAAGTCTGAAAATAAATATTTAAAGAACATCTGCTGTGGCCTTATTATAATAACAAGTTCATGATCAATTTTTTAAACACCTTATGTATTATAAAAAAAAAAATTCTTGTACGTATTCGAAACGGTTATACTATAAAATGTAAACATTAATACAACAATTTCAACTCTTGAAGCCCGATTTGTGAAGTCGTCGTGTAATGTAGTACTAAACAACGATGTATATACGAAAATGTTGAAATAATTTAGCAGATAGACAAATCTATAAAATATAATTGTACCTTGAAATAATTTATGAAAATAATTAAAAAATATTCAGTTTTGTTAGCATAAAACTGTCGATGAAAATACAAATCATTGAACACACTAAAATAATAATTTTGAAACATAACAAATTATTTGTAATTACGTTTAGTTCTTAAAGTCAAGGGACTAATAATATTCAAATTTGAAATTACATCATTTTTTTAAAATTACATTAAATAAAAATTTCCAAATAATTAAAAAAGGTCTCAAGTGATTAAATGATTATCAGCTAATAATCTAAATCGGGTTTATTGATATAATGAAAAATCTTTAAAATCTAACAAATTAAACAGTGTTAAATTTTACAAAAAAAATGTGTAATTTTAATTTTGATTGGTTGTGCGATGGTCTTGTTACAATCGGTATTAAAAACAAGAACTGGACGCTTTCGTGCAGTGTTTGTGGGTGAGCTAGGGTAACACTTGTGTACGTCACTTTCTGTCTCTCTGATTTATCAACTCAGCATATATAAGTTTTGTTCTATTTTACATTGTTTGCGTGTAATATTTTATAGTCGGGTACAAGTATTATTGTGTGCATACAATCTAATGAGCTATTAATAAAAATATTTTTAAAAAATACTGCAGGCTATATAAAACGCGTATAGGAAACGCTCGGTTCTTGTTCCTATATTATATCTCTAGATACCGGGCAACCCGAAAAAATCATATCTTTCATATGTATTTTTTTTTATTCTTATTACACTCTATATACATATACAATATAATATTACGCGACCGACGAGTAGGTAGGTATACTTCTGGGTTCTGATGATAAACCCCTATTTTCCCGTCTTGCGTCTCTCAGTGGTCGGTTCGCAATATTCAAGCTTGCGTGACCACAAAGACACTATAAGGGAGTCCTATCCGGATCCCACTCTTTACTTTTATTATTACAAAACGGGACGATGGATATATATTATGTATAAATTGTTTTTGTCATTTTTCTCAGAGACGTCGACAGAATTCTTTTCCTTAACAAGGGTTTATAAAAAATATGGTAATACTATATTTCACTATATACAGAGTTATTTTTTGTCATGCACCACTTAATATCTCATAGGGTTAAATAAGAAATTACATTTTTTTTTCATATTGTTGTTATACAATGTGATATCAATTTTTCACAGAATTTTTTTGTTTTTACCCCCCTCCCAACTTAGTTTTTTGATAGCAACATTTGAAACTTTTTAAATTGAGAATAATGTACTAAAAGTTTTTACTGGTCGACATCCAGTTTCGGATAACTGTTTTTAAAGTTATACTAGTTTTAAAGTTAGGATGGGAGGGGAATTGCGCGCAGATAAAAAATACTACACTCCACCTTTCCTCCTGCTCTAATCAAGAAACTTCAACAACTTCAAAAATAGTTAACCGAAACTGGTTATCGACCAGTGTTGGGAATAGATAACTATAAAGTTATCTAGATAAGATAACGGATAATTGAGTAATATATCATCTAGATAAGATATTAAATTATTCATTTAACATTTATTTAGCTAAAAGATAAAGATAAATACAATTTTATCTAGATGAAAAATAGATAAATTAAATTTTAACCTTATTAAAATGTTATACGAAAATGTATGAGTGAAACAAAGTATTTTCACAGATTACAGAATAATTTAATAACCAATAAGACGTAGGTACTAAGAAATGGACAGTTACGTCAAAGAGCAAATTTTCCTTATATTAGATTTCGTGATTTATGGCTACTCTGTTCATTTGTCATTTATTATTTTCATGTACTCTGTTTATGTCATCTTTTATGTAGGCAACAGTAATAGTATAAATAGGTATAAAAAGTAATTACGAGTTTATCAAACTCGATAATCGATGACGGGACATTTCATTATCGGTTGAAACTATTTATAAACATATTGTTCTTTTTTGAGGCTTAACTATCGTTTTGGCCCCATACGGTCTACGGACTACGGAGAGCCCACATTATGTTTAAAATGTTTATTACAAGGTTTTGTTATTTTATTTTGATTGAAAATACAAATAACTTTTTGGAAACGGCTCATTGTTTATTGGACTTGTATTACTATTTACTATTTTACATTTATAGTCTTTACTCTTTACCCTATATGTAGTTACTGATACAGGACTCGCCTGACATGTATATATATTTGTAAAATATAATTTATAACCATTCTGCTCAAATAAACACCTGCACTTTCGACCATTTTTTTTGTTGGGATTTTGGTCAATGTTAATCTTGAAATTATTATCGTAAAAATTCTTTTAAACACGTTTTATATAGCACTAGTAATTATTTCGAGAGTACTGGGAAAAAAATTATCAACATTAAATAAAAACTGTGCACTGTAGTCGAGAACTACGAATATAAATAATAAATTATACGATAATACATATATAACTCTTATCTACTTCTACCTATTAAAAATAGGTAAAAGACGTTTTGTATAATCGACTAAAATACATTGGATTAAAATGGAATATTGGACTTGTCTAACAAGCCAACCCCAATGTATTAATAATATATTCTTATATCACTAATCACTATTCATTAGGACCTAGGTATATTAAAATTTTTAGGCTAGGACTACATTATGCGTTTCGTCGGATCCCGAAACCTGTTTTTGTAAAACCCACGAATAAATAACTTAAAAAATAGTTACAATTTCTATCTAGATTAATTACCTCAGATAACCGATTTGCTTATCTAAATAAGATAATAAGATGATTTACTTTTTTTTTATCTAGATAATTTATCTAGATAAAATTATCTAGATAATTCCCAACACTGTTATCGACCAGCCAAAATTTTAAGTACATTATTCTCAACTTAAAAAGGTATTAAAATATATACGTTACTATTTAAGTTTCAAAAGTTGCTATCAAAAAATCTAAGTTGGGAGGGGGTAAAAACAAAAAAAAAAATTGAAAAATTGAGATCACATTGTATAAAAACAATATGAACAAACCAGTACAGTGGGGTCGAGGCATAGCGGGGATGGAGCATGGTGGGGAACGGGGCATAGAAGGGACGGTAGGTCACAAGTTTACAGGAATTTTTAAATCTTAAAGTGATAAAATCACTTTCGAATAAACGCTTCGATGCAAATCAGTAATTAGTATTTTCAAGCCAGTACAGTCAAAACCAAGCATAGTATAATCCAGCAGAGTAAGAAAGAATTAAATTGAGGTGCTGTATTTACAAATAAGCTTCAAAGCGTTAATTTGAAAGTGATTTCATTCAATTTTTCACTTTTAATTATAATAATTCCTGTAGACCTGTGACCTCTCCGTCGCCTCGTTGCTTTGATTCCATAATACCTATAATCTACTGTACGAGTCATCTCGAATAGAATCACTTTCAAACAATTATTAAATTAAAACCCAAAAATTGTACTTGAGTATCAAAACTTAATAGCATCATTCTGCATTGATCTACATACAATTGTTGTAATAATTTGATAAAAAAAATTTAAGATTTTAGGTGTTTTTGTTAAAATATACGAAATCTGCAAAAAACACATTTTTCCGGATATTAAAAAAAACTGTATTAACGAATATTTTCAGTTTAATATGTTATGGATACATTGAACCAATTTGATATTGAGTGACTCATGATAAAAAAATCATTCTGTATGTAGCGTTTCAGGTACCCGGTTCTTTACCATTACGGGTATAACCCTTAATATATTAAGAGTTCTTTTTTTAGGCATTCGTATATTCAATTCAGATAATATGGTATGACTTTTATAAAATGCGCAGGCAAAATTATAATTCTTGTTTTGTTTTCAAACCGATATAATTGTATACGACAAATGTTAGTATTATTTTTTTGTGTTCAGTACAAAACATGTTTTTTATTATTTGAACAATACATATGCACGTTATCTTTCTACTTATTTTTTACACATTTAGATTTATAAGAGTCCTTTGTACCTAGGAGGGTGTGAATTCCTGACAAAGTCTATTTAAAACAATTATAATATCTTCAAAATTACCTATTTCATATAATATTAAATCTTTAATTTAACACATTATTTATAAAGTGAAAAATCGATTTATT